AAGGTTCATCTCCTTTTAAGGGAGCTCATCAGCTAAGAACTCCAGATTTTTATGTGTGCTTGCTCGGGAGTAGTCTTGGGATGGGTGACCCCCTGGGAAGTTTCTCAGGGCGCGAACGGGTGAGGACAAAGGGCGAGGAAAAGGCTAGTGGCGGTTTGTGAGGACAGCACTAGAGGTCTAGAGGGTGTGTATGAGTAACTACCTTGGCCCCTATGGGGCGGGGTGTTACAGAGAAAGTCGCCACTTGCATGCCTCTTTATGAAGACACGATGCACTCTTTTCGTCTTTGTAAAATCATGCTCTGTCATGAAGAATTCAAACTTCTTGTACATTGCCTCGGTGCTTTCTTAAGACCATATAACCTCTTCATGAGGCGACATACTAGGTTTTCCTTGCCCAGAACTTTGAATCCCTCGGGCTTCTCCATGTAGATTTCTTCCTCTAGGTCACTATGAAGGAACGCCGTCTTGAACCGCTGCTAGACCAAGGACAACTCAGATAGATGACATCTTTATCACGAGAGAGAATATTTTTTCAAAGTTGATGCCTTTTTCTTGACCACATTCTTTGATTCTCATGCAAGGATTGCATCTCTTGTTGCATGGCTTTTCTCGACTCTTCTTTGTGAACTTCATTTATTGCTTCTTTATAGCTCTGCGGCTCCCCTTCATCTGTGAGCATCACATACATCTCGGTGTCATACCGATCGAGTTGATGGCCTTCTTTCCCTAGAGGATCACCTCGGCTCTGGTGTTGGCAGAGAACTAGATTGAAGATCTTCCTGAGATGGATCATCATGAGTCTCCTGGTTGCTTTGATCCAACACAGCCTCATGAACTTTAGCATTATTGCCTTGAGGTGTGTCATCCTCATGTTGAACAGGAGTTGGTTCGGTGCTCTTGTTGCTTCTCAATCTAGGTTTCTCCAAATTTTTTTCTTTGATAGTTGGTCTTTGAAGAATACAACATCTCAACTACGGACAACTTTCTTATTGATTGGACCCCATAGTCGGTAATCGAATTCGTCCTTGGGTGAGCGAAGGTAGATACACTCCTGTGTCTTTGCGTCAAACTTACCTCGCTCATCTTTGAGGATGTGAACAAATGCTCTTCACCCAATTACCTTGAGATGATTGTGTGAAGCCCTTTACCTGTCCAGACTTCCTCTGGGATGGCTCCGTCCAAAGGAATTGATGGTGTGAGGTTGACAATGTCAACTACGACCACTATTGCTTCTCCCCAAAAGGATTTGGGTAGCTTAGCATGAGAGAGGACACAAACAACTCTTTCTTCAATAGTTCTATTCATTTTCTGAGCTAGCCCATTCAATTGTGGTGTCTTGGGTGGAGTTTTCTCTAACTTAATGTCATATTTCTTGCAAAAGGCTTCAACATGACCTCTATATTCATCTCCATAGTCATATTGTACACACGTGATCTTCCGTCTAGTCTCACATTTTACCATAGCGTGGAATTCTTTGAAGGCATCCAACACTTGATCCTTGGATTTTAACTGGTGCAACCATACCTTCCTTGAATGATGGTCAATGAAAGTCATAAAGTATAATGCACCACCAATGGATCTCTCGGATATTGAGCACACATCAGTGTGTACAAGGTTGAAGATGTTCTCTCTCCTTGTGGGTGGAGAAGATATTTGGAAAGCAACCTTAGTATTTTCCAACTAAACAGTGAGCAAAAGGATTAAATAACTTACCTTTCACGTCAGGGATGAGTTGCTTTCAAGCGAGTATGTGAAGGCCCTTCTCATTGATGTGAACAAATCGATCATTTGATTTATTATGACATACTTCCATGTTATCACTGGTTATGTTTACTTCTCCTTTGCAGAGCTTAGCTTGCATCACATACAACGATCCTTCCTTCTTTCCTATAGCCATGACTAGATTTCATTTTCCTTCACCAAAGTAATTCATCAGACCAGCATCATTTAATGCTTGTTGTAATGATAATAAGATTGAGGCGCATGACCGGAACATGCCTCACATCTTTTAGGACAAGTTTGCATTTAGTGCTTGTTGTAAGGATAATATCTCTTATCCCAACAATCTTGCTCCAGCCTTGGTTCCCCATTTGAGGATATTACCTTCTCTAACGAGATATAACAGATCTTGTTTTGAGACTATGGCAAAGGTAATTTTATCTTCTTGTTTCTTCTTTGGGTTAACTTGATCTGGCTTGACATTACCGGTTTTCTGGTCTCTCTTGAAGGATCAACACTCCATTTTCTTGTGGCGCATTCTTCCACAGCAGTAGCATGTGATCTTCGAGCGTGACTTGGATCTACCTTGAGATTGATGCAGATCTCGGCTCTTACTACATCCATTTGTTTCATGCATGCCTACCTCGGTTCTCAATAACATTAACCTCGGGATGCATAGGCTCACCTCATTCCATTCTCCTTGCTTCTTCACCGAGAAGGCTATCACTAATGGCATCCATGATGAGCTTTCCTTCCGGAGCTGAGTTACTAAATGTATCTACAAGAGTGTCCCAACTTTCTGACAAGGAACAAAGGAGTAGAAGAGTTTGCAGCTCGTCATCAATCTTGATCTCAATTTTGGTTAGTTGATTTACGATTCCCTTGAAACTATTTAGGTGCTCAATCATACTATGATCATCCATATACTCCAACTTCACCAACCGTCGAACTAAATTGGCCTTATTACGAGGTGTTTTGTTTTGAGTCATAGACTCAAGCTTTGTCCATAATTCATAAGCATCCGTGTAAGTAGAAACATGCTCAAAGAGAGTTTTGTCGATGTGCTTACGAATCATAGCAATGGTCTTCCGATTTAGTATCTCCCACTGAGCATCACTCTTTCCTTCAATCTTGTCCAAGATGATGAGCTCATTCAAATCCTTGCAGTATAGATGATTCTCCATCATCGGCTTTCAATATGAGTAGTTGTTGGCGGTGAGCTTGAACATGTCTCCATCACGAGCGGCGAACATGATGAACCTGGCTCTATTATCATCCATCTTGAATTGTACGAGCTAATGACGGCTTTTGATGAACCTGGCTCTGATATCATCCATCTTGAATTGTACGAGCTAATGACGGCTTCTGATGAACCTGGCTCTATTATCATCCATCTTGAATTGTACGAGCTAATGACGGCTTCTGATGAACCTGGCTCTGATATCACCGTCGGGAAAAACCCGGACTTTCCCGCTTCGTGAAATTAAGATAGGCACTTAGGAATTAAGGTAGTAATGAGAGCACTCGAGTTAAACTATCCTATTCAGATATCCTACCACTACCTATATAAAAGAATAGTAGGATTTACACTGATGTCCTTACAAAGTTGTCTCACTCTATGATGTCTCACTCAAGCTTGAGGATAGAAACTTATCAAGCTATCTATCTTCTCTCTCAAAGAGATTCTCTAACTTTCTCACTCTGAGAAATCGATTCTCTCTTGGCTAGGATGGTTAGGAATGAAGCCTTATACCCTAATTATACAACTCCACCTTCAGAATGAATGGTTGGGATGATTTGTATCCAAGAGTCTCTATACTCTTTCACTCTCTTCCATATTCTTCCATACACTTTCATAAGCTTCCGGAAGGTTTCACACACCTCCAGAATACTTTAGAGGTTCCACACTCTTCCATAAGCTTCTAGAGAGTTCTAGAGTTCTCTAGGATTCTCCGGAACATTCTAGAAAATTACACACTTCTCTAGAAAGCTATAGAGTTTCCTAGAACCTCTCCAACTAAGGAGGGATCCCAACAGGATGTACGTCGTAGTACCCATGTACCAAGCACGGAGAGACTGTTTCCGGATGACCCATCATAAAAATTGCATCGAAAATAGCATAGTCTGCCTATTGTTTTCATAACAAAGAAGCGCAGACCATTTAGTGATATAAGTCACTTTTCTTCATTCCATCATATTATCAAGCAAAAAAATATGGAGTGTTTAATTTGGCTCCATTGGAAGTGATGGAAAAATTATCACACAATTGTTGTCATTTTTTTTACTAGACACAATTATTAGCAAGTATCTATTTGGAAGGATGTTTTTACTTGGATTTATTTCACTCTCGACTAGAACGGATAATTTCAGATTAAAAAAAACTAGCTAGAGCAGACGCAAACAAATTAGATCCAACTTCAACAACTATAGTTTACACATAGACCAAACATTTTCCAAATCCGAGCATTTCAGACTACACTAAACCAAACAAATCAGAAAATTTCAATCTAATTAAAAAGCATCTAAGGCATGATAAAAGCTCTTGACATAAAAAGATCGGATCTCCATCGGTGTAACTATCGAGGGTTAACCCTGGCCCTGGCTCAACCCAAATTTTAAAAATCTTAAAATTTGTAATTGAAATTTGTAGTGTAAAAGTGTAAAACGTTCCGTGTAAATTCTTCCATACATATTCTTTGTATCAACTCAGTCGGATAAATTATGTCCGAACGTGCTGAAGGCTTAAAGGGATCTCTAGCACCAACTCATTAAGAGGTGACCGCTAAAGTGGAATAGTCTCATTTCATCATCAAACGCGAGTAAAACTCTTAAGAGTGTCATCGAAGAGCATGCTTAATGGTGTGAAAGGAGACAATCCAAGAAGGCTACTGATAAATGTATACTCCAAATAAGTGAAGTAACCTCACTTATACAATTTATTGTATGATACAAAATCATATTATGAGCTTTGTATTATGAGTGCGTGAGTATGTGCACAAAAGTCATATGAACGAGTGATCCTGGAAGAGGAAAGGGGTGTGTTTTGAGGATATATTTCCCCAACAAGTATGACTGTGCAAGAGCAGAAACACATCTGCAACTAATAATTTGAAACGTCTACAGCTTTGTAAAATTAATTGACCCGTATGCTTTTTCACGTAGTTTAAAGCATAAATATGTAAAGTAGGAGATTTTTGGTACTGTAGCGGTACTGCAGCTGCTTTTTGGGTGAGCTTATTTCCAAAAAGGGAAATGAGACATTTATTTTGATACGTCCCAAAAGAGAAAGTGGGTCAATTAATTTGATACGGAAGGAGTAATACGTAGTACATCACAAGGTAGATAATTCTTAATCAATTAGTTAGAAGTTTAAAACAAGTTTAAAAACCCATGCTCCATATTATTATTCTGGTGTACTGCAAATTGATGTTAAAAGGATGAGTAGAATCTTCAATAATTGTAATGCAAAATTCAAAGACTTAATGCCGTGAACCCGTGACGGCCGGTAGAGATCGATGGTGGTAAGTCACCACCGCTAGTCGCGGATAATTGAATGGATCAACATAGACGCCTCTTCTGTTTCCGGTGCAACGCCTTCTGTCCATTAAGCCAAAGTATCAAATTGTATTATCAATCATACTACTCCGGACTTTGCATTAGTACTCACCATTATTTCAGCTTTTATGATATTTGATTCATATATTAATGTAATAAGTAAGTTAGTAAAAACACTTGCATGTTAAAGAACGGTGTCATACTTGTTATAAAACATGGTATAGTATGATATGTACGTCGTGATATTATAAATTGATTTTGAAATGAAAAATGATCAATCAATAACTACAACTGAAACAATTACTAAAAGGGTACGGTCATAATAGTTCCTTTTACATTTCAATAAACAAGTAAACATAATCCCATTTTCTGGTAACTACGATATATCATCACATTTTTCGAAGGGTTCTATTTTAGTGTTATCATTACGGAAAAGTCACAATTCAAAATAAGTTAGAATTGGAACACACAGTTAAGGCAGTTTGACTAATGAGTAACAGTAACTAATAAAGCATGTCAAAAAATGATGTAGTACTAGTAGTTTGAGTGTTCGTGCATCTATGAGCTTTCAGTTTTCTTTTCACAGCTTGAAGAGTGAAGTTGTACGTAAGAAGTCAATTAAATTTTAAATTGATAATGTAGAAAAAATGAAAAAGCTCAGGTCCAAGAGAAACTGAAGGAAGTAAAAACTCCTTATTATTAAACATGTTTGTCATTTTACATTTAAAACTATTTGTACACATTTTTTTACACACTTTTGTAAAATGATTGTTCCAAAATTAGTTTGTGGGCTTGTTTATTTCCTCCACTTACATTTTCTTTTCTTATTCAAAACTTAACTCTAATTAATTTTTAAAATTTTAACCGTTTGACCAATACACCAGCTCCTTTGTAACTTTTGACAAATTTGACCAATGGTAAAATACGATAGTATTGTGTATGTAAAAAAAAACAAGAATTAATTAAAAGAAGTAAAAAATTTAAACAAGTAAAAAAAACGATAGTTCACGAAATTAGAAATGCGGCGCTTGGTAATAGACGGTACGGTGTACCATATATATACCTGCCGAGAGAGGATTTGGCAAGTGCGAAATAATACTATCTATTATAACGCCGCCGCTGCCGCCGTGGTCATTTAGCTGCACATCCCCTCCTCCGCCTCTACCGTCCATATCACTGCTCTTATCCTTGTCATCATCCACGTGGCTCCTCTTCTCCTCCTCCTCCCCATCGTCTCCCGAGACGGCTTCACTTTGGTTGAAGAAGTTAGAAATCAAACTGTTGATTCCTCCTCCTCTTTCTCCTCCGCTTCGGCCGCCTTCGTGATCATCGGCTGCATCAATAATATTATTCCCCTCCGTCTCTTCTTCTTCTTTTTCCTTTGTCCCACCGCCGCCGGAGACAAAGGCGGAAATGAAGGTCTTGATGACCCCACCTGCAGACTCGCTACTTTCTTCAACTCGTTTCTTTGTATCGCCGTCCCCTCCCTCCATCTCTATCTTTTCTCCTTCCATTACACTGAAATTTATTTCATTTTAGTTCTTTTTCTTGTAAGTATATGCCTATTATTTATTTATTTCCGATGACAAGGCATGCGCCAATTCTTCACAAGCCTCCACCTAGACACTTAAATTGTCAGAAAGTCGGTGCTGTGCCACCCAGAAATAATAAAATATGCGCCTACTAAATTAAAAATAAGATACCTTCTAATTTATGATACTTGAATAATACTACTCTGAAAAAAAGTAAAAACGATTTACCACACTACTAAAATGATTTAGAACCACACAACTTTTACAAAATTTAATATAGGACAATCTTAATGGAACAAACCAAAAAGAAAAGATGCAACATTCTTAGATAGACATTTTAATCCATCCCTATACCTATCATCATAACCTTACCTCAGAATCTCGAATGACATTTTAACCCAATTTTGCAAGCCATACACAAATCTTGTAGCATAAATCATAATATGCAACATATACGTAGACACGTTTGCTTTTGCTCAAACTAGATATAACCACAGTAATGCAAGTAGTAGACTAGTAGTTGTAAGCGTTGGTGCATTGTATCAGCCTATCAGGTAAAATAGAGGTGTTTATGCATACAAAAGTACATAAACTTACCAAGAACAATCTTATAACAAACACGGTTCTTATTATGTTTTGTTTTCGGGGGCATGAGGGGCCGGGGGAGGCACCAGGTAACGAATGATTGAATGAATACCATGAGTTCTTGGGGCTTTCAAGTATGATGATGTCCAAATCCCTTTGCGAAAAAACCTCCATTGTTACCAGAAAACATTATGCAGAGCAAATTTACGCGTTACCAACAAGGCAACAACCACCAAGATACCACAAAGAGTTCACCAGTGGATTGGATTGATCAATCTGTCTTTTTACCACTGTCTGCAATTAGCTCAGCCAGAGGACGACCAAACACTTTATCTTCCACCACAGCAGTTTTCTCTGCCACTCTTCTCCGCCTCTCCTTCATCTTTTTGGCATAATCATGAGCAAAGACAATCCGCAACACAGTATCAAATCCAGGGATGTCGTCCACCAGCGTGTACAACAATTTTCTACTGACCTTAAAGAACACTTTTAACATCATCATCGCATCTCTATTCCAGTCATAAAGGTACGGAGGTCCGGTTGTGTATGATCCCAGAGGTTCACGATACCACCTCCCTCGATATGTTATCTGATCCATTGCTTGTTCTACACTCAGGACCTCCCACGGCCTTAGCCCAGGGATCACCTCAGCCAATTTAATCCTGCACCAACACCCTTATTATGCTTGCTCATAAATAGAAAGGAATTCTAAGTACCCATTTGGCAAGCTTATCTTTTGCCTAATAATCCAGTTTTTTAAGAATTGCTAATTATATTCTTTCACGCGCTTAACTGATTGCATATGAAAAAAGCAAGTATAGAGTGTTTAGTTGGATGAAGAGGACCATTTTAGCTTCTTTGGGTATATTATCCCTCCGTCCCGAAATTAAGTTTTCACTTTCCTTTTTGGGATGTCCCAAAATGAAGTTCCCACTTCAACTTCTTTCTATATTTGGTAAGTTTTTAGAATGTTTTTACTTGGACTGTAATTTGCTGGTCTGGTCTGGTCTGAGCTGGTATGGTTTCTTTGTATTTTTATAACATCCAAGTCTGGTTTGGTCTGGTCTGGGACAGATTATAGTCCAAGTAAAAACATCCTTATTATTCAATTACCTTTTTACCCTCACATCACTTCATTGAATTGATGTGTGTTACCCCCATTTCACTATTCATTACCCTCTTTCTTATACCCATTTGGGTACTACAGCTGTTAATAACCCAAGGGCATTTTTGAAAAACCAACTTTATTTCTTATTCTACCTAAAAACCCGTGAAGTCAAACGAGGAACTTAATTTCGGGACGGAGAGTATTTTTTTTCATAATTCAACACATTCAATCAATTCAGATTGTTTAGCCCTAAAACCATTTTTAGAAATGGTGAAAAGTACAGACGCTTTTAAAGAGTCTCTATTATTGTTCCATGTCACTGGATTTGATTTTTGGTTATTGTAAAAAGTTATTCTGAGCCAATAATAGAGAGGGTGTAAAAAAGTGAAGTTTTATTTGCATCTAGCATTCCTCACTTAAACGGTTGAACTTCAGCAGACTAAACATATTCAATCAGTCAGGCACGTCGGACAAGATCATAAGGTGGCTGGAGGGAACACTTGTAGCAAAGGGAACTATATATAAGGTTGAGTGTCTAGTACAATATGTGCGCACAATATCTAGAGCTGAAAGTACAAGCACATAAAGCTGTAAACTAGCTATCATAGCGGGTCGTCCAGGTAACCACAAAAAACCTGGTCAGCCAGTTCGATCAATGGGATATACACTGTCATAATCCAAGAGAGATAAAGAGAATAGTTATGCACCTTAGATCTTTTGGGATGAATTTATTAGGCATGTGATCCTCATCCAATAATGATGTCAGTTCAGACCCACTTGCCCAAAGAAATAGGGCATGGCTTGGAATCCTTACACCGGGCCACATACCACCATTAGCTTCCATAACAGCTATGTCACGCTTCTTGCTCTCGTAAGCTTCTTCTTGGAGTTGTTTATAAGTCTTCTTCTCGTGCCCCTTGAGAGGAACCCATGGAGGTATACCCTTCTGGAGCTTGTGGAGGAAGGCTGTGGCAGCTGCCCCTAGTCTAGCTGCGAATCAATCAATCACATTCACCATCAACACGCTTACATATATGATACTCTTTCCATCCCAAAATAGATTGTCATATAACTATTCATGTGGCCAACTTAATTCATTCTTATTCTCTAGTTTTCTGTGTCAACCTTTTATCACATTTGAATTCGGTTTTTGTAGTTCAGTAGGGATTTTAGTGCAGTTTCTAAATATGTAGGTATTAATTGTTAACACTAATTTAAATCTTATCGGGGGACAGTTACCTTAGCATCAATAAAACCTCATAAACCGTAACTAGCAAGCTGATTTGCGACAGATGTCATATTATTATTAGTATTAGTTTCCTATCAGAATTGGCATTTTATTTTAGAGAGTATTACTAATAATATTGTAATAGATTAAAGACTGTTTTTACTTTATCCATTTTTTGCTCACCGAGATTACTATGAGTATGATAAATAGGGATTTTACTTGGTCCAAAACACGTCAAGTCTCTAGGGTTTCAGGCTCATCCTCTAGGCTCTTTGAGGGTTGAGTTTGCCATATACAACCACACTCATAAGAATTATACGTAGTATAATTTTAATCTATTCTCTATAACTCATTCACTAATAAAAACCACTAATAATAGAAAAAGAATTAAAAAAGAAATGGCGGTGGAAAGTGAAAATGAACCTTCCCATGGAGCAATAGCACGTTCCAAGCCATAAACCATGGAAATAGGTGCCCATTCATCCATGTCCTCGCCCCAAATGAAAGTATGCCTGTCAATGATTCCACCAGCCCATGCAGTCTTAAGTTGTATCAACTCCATGGGACCCCTAGACCGACCTAACCGGTCCTTATAAAACCATCCACCAGTCTTCATTATAACTGGACACAAGTTAAAACAAAAGGTAAAGCTCAAATAAATGGAAACTAATATAGTACGTAGTAATACTCTACATGAAAAAATGGATGAATTTAGTCCACCACTCTATCCTAAACGGAGGTAAGAACATAATGCATTCAAACTACTTTGTTAGAGTCCCGCATTGAAAAAATAACAAGAGAATGATTGTTTAATAAGACAGTTTGTTGAACTAGCTAACACATTGGATTCAATACTTTGAGGTGGTTTGGCTCATGTGCCTTACGATCCAGTTGAGCTACCTCAACACAATCCTGCATTTTACCATATTATTATAATTATAATAACCACTGCTTAAATCCTAAAATAGATGACTTAATTTAAGGTAGAGAACTTACAATCATAATACCGCTTTTCAAGCCGCTTATACCCAATAGCCTGTGCAGCGTCAATGGGCCTTCCAGGTGGATATGGCCTTTGTCGGAACCCCCATAGCCCAAAAAAGAATTGCTGCGCGAAATCCCAAAACTTATCATCTGACTCTTCTTTTGTCTTTATTGATTTCCTAGGCATAGGCCTTCCATCCAATCCAAGCACATTAGGGAGTGCCTTCATAGATAAACATAGCACGCTTTATCAGATTATTTTAAAACAAGTATGCAAAAAGTAGAACAAATGTGTTGCATTTGATCAAATAGATTATGCATGTTACTATGGAAAACATGAACTTTAACTTCACTGGTAGACTATCTATAATACTCCGTATATTATTATCTCGTTTCACCACTTTTACCCTGAGAGTTTAATAGTAAAATAAAATAAAAATGTGCTGCATTTTACTACCTTAAACAGAGTAATTTATTAGAAAAATCGAAATTTCATTGCAAATGCTAAAAAGTTCATGAATAAGCGGATACTTAACTACCTGAATTCAACAAAAGGAAAAAATCCATGTAAAATATGTGCGTAAAGAAGTATTTAAAGCATAGTAAAACCTGCCACAATTTTTTGTCTTCTTTCTTATAAGGAGCTAAATTATCTTTGAGCGCATCCTCATTAAGCTTATCTCCAATCTCTTTAGCGCGGGCCAAGAACTGCACAACCGGGCTTTCCTTCAATTCAGCTAACCATTCCTCGTTCTCCTCAATCTCTTCTTCTGTCGGGTTCTCCTTCTTCTCGAAAACCGGGTCTTCCTTAAGAATCTTCTCTACTTCCGGCGAGTGCCGGTAGTCCGGCAGGTTCTCGCACTCCCAGTAGAACTGGTCAAGCATGCGACGGTACTTCCCCGGGGGTTCATCCTTCTTAGGCTTTCCAGAAAAAAACGGTAATGAGATAGCGGCAAAAGGATAATTCTTTGATCGATGGTTGCATAAGTTTACAGAATCAATAAGGGTGTGGAAATCGACGAATTTAATAGGGTTTGGAGGTTTATTGAACCAGTTATTATTGAAAGGATTGAAGTTAATTGAAGCCATTGGAGTGGATTAGATGGTTTCTTCGCTTATGGTTTTGGCAATGGC